AATTTTCCAAACGTGCGAAACCTGCGGGAATGAGTAAAACCAAAACGCGCAATCCCGCACCGAGATTCAGGACGTTATTAAACATATTCTATTATATAGAGATTTGTCAAATAAATTTCCACGACTTTTCCAAAGCTTTCTGGAGTTTTCATGACCGTACGAACCCTGTAATTGGCTATTTTTATTTTTTTTAAATAGTTTTGATAATTTCTGCTCCACTTTGTGTGGAGGTAGTGAGACGGGACAAAGTCCCTGTAAGATATTAGGGTATTCTATAATCTTTGGACTGGAGAGAGAGCTCAACTCTTCAGCGGATTATTCTATATTATATTAATGTTCCACTAAATTAATCTGTTACGAATTGAGGCGTGAACATGTGAGAATGTATCATTATCTTTGTAAATGTGCGCTCTTTTGGGCTAAAGGCATAATTGAACTGTTTAAAGTAGCCATGTGATCACAAATTAATCGGCGATTCGGCGCAGCGCAGATGTGATTTTAATACTTGTGTCCTTTTTCTATGTGAAAAATCATAAATTCCAGTTTATGCTGTTTGATTATGGCTTCGAAGGTCGTAGTTGTAAGCTGTTAGCCCCGGCTGACCCGTGTGCGCAGTTGAAATGCGGCTAATAATTTCTGACTGGCACATAACTGAACAAATGTAAACGGGTTAAGGCGAGGCCCCAGCCCATTCAAGCCCAATGGGAAGTCTGGCCATGGCAGTGAGGCATTCAGTGATCTGCTTTCTCTATCATGTGTTTGTATAACAGAAAAGCCAGGAGTGTGTCCAAGCAGTAACCTAGGAGTGTGTGCTGAGTTGTGTTCCCAAGACGGTAACTGTCCGAATGATGAGAAATGCTGCAGCAATGGATGTGGACATCAGTGTATGCCTCCATATAAAGGTATTTATATTGTTATATTAATGTGAATTCAGTTAGTTCTTAACATTTTTAAATGCAGTGAGGCATTTAGTGATCTGCTTTCTCTATCATGTGTTTGTATAACAGAAAAGCCAGGAGTGTGTCCAAGCAGTAACCTAGGAGCGTGTGCTGAGATGTGTTTCCAAGATGGTGAGTGTCCGAATGGTGAGAAATGCTGCAGCAATGGATGTGGACATCAGTGTATGGCTGTATCTAAAGGTATGTTATACTAATTCATTGGTCAGCTTTTTTCCCCCTATTACAGTGATTTGAGTCATTCGGTGATCTGGTTTCCCTGTTGTGTTTATATAACAGTAAAGCCAGGAGTGTGTCCAAGGAGATTCCTTGGAGTAGGATTGTGTAAAGGGTTGTGTGTCAATGACATTGACTGTCCGAAAGATCAAAAATGCTGCAGCACTAAATGTGGACGTGAATGTACACCTCCATTTAAAGGTATTTGTTATATTGATGCTTGGGTCCCCAACACACACCGTTTTTGAGTGTTTTATCATTTTCAACGGCAAAGTAACTGAATTTGGCCCATAGCACCATTTTCAAGCACATGGCTTTTCAGAATGATTAATACTATTTGAAATACAACTTGCTCTAAAAGTAAAACTTGTTCATGCTTTCAGTGTTTTGTGATGTTTGAGTTTGAATGCATCTAAATGAACAGACTAATTCTGACTATCTGTATCCATGCAGTGAG